CACCTTTTTTCTTTTCTATTTTAGGGAAGGGTCTACAGGATGTTCAGGGTCTTACTACTAGATTGGACTTGCAGTGATCTACCTGTTTACAGCCTCCCAAGAGCTGGGATTAACAGGGCATACCACCACGCCCAGTCTCAACTGCAGTCTCAGGTGTGCCCTGGGGGCGGGGCCAGCATGGCAGGATCAAACCTTGGCCCCTGCACCTGCTTGCAGGCGCTTTAATTCGCTGAGCTATTGGCCTTCCCTCCTTTTATTATTGAAAGGTTTGCCACCACTACACTAGAACATATTCCCCCATAGGGAAAAGGACATTACTGTCATTGTAGTAAGAGTTTGCAAGGGAATAGATTTAATACAAGACATATAACTTATAGGGTTATTTTACAGTATTCACCTAAAAAGTCTAATGAAGAAGAGTGCAAGAGTTCTGTCCATGCACTAGAAACCCAAAGAATCCAGCTGAGGACTTGGAACCCACAGCAATGTCCTGCACAACTCCAGCTGATAACCTAGAGCTCATAGCAATGTCCTCCACGAGTCCAGCTGAAGGCCTAGAGCCCATGACAACGCTCGTAAAGTCTGTATCAAGGATCTGCACTGAGAAGACCAAAAGGTCAGTGGTGGAAGCTAGAAGGTCTGCGCCAGCAGGATGGAGGTTCTGTGCCAGCAGGCTGATCCATCTGCATTGGGGTCGGGGAGCAATGCTCAAGGTAAGGACCAGAGCTCCCTAAAGAGAGCAGCAACCATCCTCAGCAACAGTGAGGACCCAAGTTCCTCTGACAAGGAGAAAAACTGTGTTCATATCAGGACAGCCGGCGAGACACACTTCTTCAAGGGAACCTACAGCACACCATCTTCCCTTCCAGTTCATTCATGCTTGGCAACAATCCTCAGCTAGCTGGCCTTCCACCCCCAGCATCACGCTCACTCAGTTCAGCTGAGCACTGCAAGGTGATCTGTAGTTCACTACAACTGTCTAGGTAAGTTGGTGGGTAAGTGTAGTTCAGACACAATGAAGAAATCAGTACCATACAATACTCGGTTTGCAAATGGGAAGGGGTCCAAAAGACGGAGAAGAGAAGAAAGAATTGAGATGTGTTCTGTACCCGTATCAATCCCCCACAACAAATATAATCACTGAGCTGAAAACATGTACTAATAAAAATAAAAATTTTAAAAGCACTTAAGCACAAAAGGTAGGCTAGTGCCACTCCTGAGAAAAATCAGGCAAATGAATGGTGGTTTCTATATATAAAAAGGGAAGGACAAGGGGTTGGCGATGCTTTAGGAGGAATAACCTAGCAGAGGTCTCCGTACAATGGAGTCGTGCCCATCTCCAGAGACTGCTGTCAAACTTAAATAACCGCAGCACACAGCGCACTTCAGGGTGCTTACCTGCCCACCACACTAAAGGTGGCCTGCGTTCGTGCTGCAGTGTCCTTAAGGTTCAGCGGGGAGAAAGATCTCAACAAACAAGCACTGTGCACCCTCACGGGGACTTGGAGAAAACCACAATGAAGGAGCTAAACCAAACCTTGGAGCAGCAGACGGCGGGAAGGCAGTACTGTCAAGGGGATCAAGAAAGCGGGAGAATCGAAGGGAGGGAGGGAAGGCTCACGGAGGTCAGCGCGCACGGTTCTCGTGGAGGGGAGAAGCTGAGAGCGCGAACGCAGAACGGTAGGAAATAATAATAATCATAATCAAGGAGGACCAAGCACAGGGGCGACAGGCCAGAAACTGCAAAGGTGACACTGTGCAGACGTCACCTGGCAAGGTGGTTCGGAAAGCTCTTTAACCGGGAGCTCAAGGTTTCTGAAGAGAAGCAGCTTCTGCAGCAGGTGGGGCGCCCGCCTGGCAAGGCCACGGTCTCACTGCCCAAAGAAGCGGCAGAAAGCTCCGTTACATCGAGAACTGTTCCCTCGCTCTCTCATCTCCCTCCATAAGCACGAACGAACGAACGACAGAATGAATGAATGCCGAGGACGTCCCCCCAGACGCTCTCCCACCGCCAGACCCCGGAACTCGCCTGAGAAAGTACGGCTTGGCGTAGAACTTGAAGTCGACTCCCTCGAAGTACACGTCGAACTCCGAGACCCGGGCGTAGGGCAAGCGGATGGCAACGGTCAGGAAGTCGGCGTCCTGGCTGAGGTCGAACGCGGGGGTCAGCATCGCCACGCGACACGAAGCTGTCTCCGCTGTCCACTCTTCAAGAAGCCCCCAAGCTCCCGCACCGGCGCGGTTAACTCCAGCGCTTCCGGCTCGAGGCGGAAGTGCCTGCGCGTGGAGCCGGAAGTCCAGCCCCACGCGATCTCCATGGAGACCCGACGCTTGTAAAGGAGGAGCGGCGCTTTGAGAACAGTAGAAGAGAGTGGCCCGCGGTGCTTGGGCGAAGGAGTTTAGCTGACAAATATTGCAAGACCCAGAACTCCCCTTCAAAGCGTCTGTGGAGGGTCTTCGAGGCGGCGTTAACAGGGTTGGTATAGCAGGTACTCAAATGAGTTTGATTGCCTTCTCAGCCATTTTCCTTAGAAAAGTTTCAAAACTTCTCAGCTTCCGAAATCTCCTCTATAAAATGAGCGTGATAATAACTTAGGTTCATAAAGATGTCATAAGGATAACAGGAAATTATGCATGTACAGCTGTAACAGCGGACCTGGCAAATTGTCAGCTCAGCGCTCTGCGCTGGAACAAGTTACTGCAGTTGCCACAGCGACGTCTTCCCTGGGATTCCCTTAGCCCTCACCTGCCCTGTGGGCATTTACTTGCCCTCCCCTTCTCTCCCCTTCTTTACTCCTTATTTAAATAGAGTTTGCTCATGGACAGAGCATACCTCCACTGGTTACATCTAATAATGCGCCCTGCAATCTCCTAAGAAAAATGGTTTTAGTGGGCATAAGCAATGTATTTGATAATCATGAATTTTACAGTGATCAGAACCCAGACCGTTCGGCTCTTAAAGTGTCATTGCCTACAAATTGCAGTCCCTACGTATTTCTCCCGTTTCCTTTTTATTTCCTTGCACTATCTCCATACACTTGTTAGAGACTGTCTTTTCTTTCTTCTTTGTCTTCTATGCATTTTTCCCCTCTAATCTGTATTCCTCATACTTCCCCAATGTCATCTTCCACCAGTTCTCCTCCTACCCAATACATTCCCTTTAAACTTTCTTGTCTCTCATTCATTTTGTTCTCTATTAATCCATCAATAACTAGCCTGATGCAATTGTGGTATTTTTCCTGGTATTAAATATCAATGGAGGACTGGTGAGATGGCTCAGTGGTCTAAAGCACCTACTTAGAACAAGCTAAGCAAAGCACAGGGACCGCGGTTCAATCCCCAGCACCACATGCCAGCCAGCCTCGCCCCCTGGCGGGCTGAGCTGGCCACACACACACAAAATTAAATAAATAAAATAGTTTTAAAAAATATCAATGGAAAAAGGTTGAAAATCATCTTCTAAGAAATGAAGACAGCTAAATAATTTCAAAAGCCTTTTTTTTTTATGTTTTTAAGGAAACACTCTTGAAACAATTCAGATTAAAATGTCAACAGATGCTGGCATTCACTGAGTACTTACTGTGTGCCAGAACTGCAGCAAGGCCTTAATATAATCGCATTTCCTTTCCTCGCAGCTGTTTGAAGGTTTTATATATTCCCTTCACTTGCACAGGATTATGGCGTTCATAAGTAGTTTTGTGGGAGTTGAAATCCAAATAAGTATGGCTTTTGTGTCTAGGCTTTAAACTGCTACAGAGTTTACTCCCTCTGATAAAACCATCTTCCCGTTTGTCTCACCATCTGGCCCCACCTGACTAGTTTAGACCACACTGTTCCTTACAAATAACAGGCACTCCAGATTGACAAGGAAGTTGATATCAGCCTAGACTCAGTAAAGCCCTTGAAAGGTCCCTTGAGCTAGGCCTGCAGCAAAATTATTCCAAATTATCTTCTCTAGAAATAATCTTTACATCTATCAGAGGACTTCATTCATGTAGGTCACAAGCATTAATATTTTTAAATTACTAATGCCAGCAAATTAACTGAAAGAAGCTATGCTGCCCACAAGAAACTTCCAATTAAAAGTGCTTTTGTTAATGTAGAGCTGGGTTTAACCTTGCTACTTTATTATGTATTTGGCAACACACATACACAACTACAACACAGAAAAACAGATGATACGATACAGTGCATAGTGCTGCTATTATTTTATAAGAAATATATGTTACACTTGCTATATAGCAAAATATTGGCAATTGCAACTGTAAAGTGGGGTTTTGTAGTCTGGGAGGAACAGTTTTAATTCCTTTTGTTTTTGTAAGTAATATTTGTTTTACTTCCCCCCCCCCCGAACCAGGGATTGAACTCAGGCCCTTGCACTTGCCAAGCAAGCAATCATTCTACTGAGCCATCTCCCCAGCCCCTACATTTTTAATTTGTAGCAAACTATAAAAATTATAAAGCCTTCTCCTTTGAAAACAAAGTTTCATTTGCCTCCTGTAGAACTTTAGTTCCCTCTCCTTCTGTCCCAAAGACGGACTTCCTGCCTAGTATGGAAGACATACGTTTTTATGTATATTCGTCTGTACTTTTAAGTGTTGAGAGCCATTTTATGTGGGAGCATTATCACATGAAAAGTGCATTTGTGCAGGATGCCTTTTTGTCCTTTGGTACATTTTTGAGACAAGGCTGTATCCAATCAAAGTGAGTTCTTCTTTCTGGATACAAGCACTGCGTGAGAATGAAGACATTGTCTTCGTTTTAATTCCAGGCTATAAGCTACACATAAGAGAGTTTCGGTGAACTCAGGAATAGCCAACAAGCAAATGTAGAACTGTTAAAGGGGTTTACGGAATGATCCAAACAGGATGTAGATGGCACAGCCCCAAAGTCTGGTGGCCTCTCCAGGGGCTTTCACCACACTGCATTCATGCTGTCCTTGTACAAATTTTTTCCTGTCATTGTGTTAACTCTGGTTTAAAGTAGAAAAATAGAATGAAGGATTTCATAATTCTTGAGCCACCTACAGTATAGTATTAATTTTTATTTTTCCAGTTCTTTGAGTCTTTCCTACTAGGTTTTCTTTTTCCACTCAGTTTTATTATACTACATTGGTTCTTCTTCTGGTTTAACAAATCTGATTGTTGTCCATCAAGTTCCAACTTAAGTGCTAAATAAGAATAGTTTTAGTTATTAATTTAAGCTTCCTCACCAAGTTTCTACTTTGTCTTTTAGTAGTGAAATACTCCTTGCTTCCAGAAGGTGGCATGCCACTGGAAGCTAAGGCAACTGTACTGCAACAGTTTTAATCTGTGAGTTTTAAACTGAAAAATACTTTCGGGAATAAACTGTGTATAACTCTTATCCACTCTCTGAGCCATTTTTGGAGGCGGTGCACTCTTACACAAAACTTTCGAATTGCACATTATTTTTATAAAGAACTTTTCAGATTTTTACAGGAAGAACTATGTGAAGTTTTTTAAACAAAAATGCTGCCATACTCTTACTTTTTTCACTTGAATATATATTGTATGACAGTAGTAAATACCATAGGATTAGATAGCCTGGGTGTTTTAATTACAAGCTATAAGCTATGTATAAGAGGGTTTGGGGGGCCGGGGAGGTGGCTCAGTAGGATAAGCGCCTCCCTGGCAAGCTCAAGGGCCTGAGTTCAATCCCCAGTTCCACAAAAAAAAAAAAAAAAAAAAAAAGCCCCAAAGTCTGGTGCTGGTGATCTCTCCAGGGGCTTTCACCACAGTGTATTCATGCTGCCCTTGTACAAACTTTTTCTTGTCATTAATTCCTAAATATAGTGTAATAACTACTAACATATGGTTTACATTACAGTAGGTTATAACTAATCCGGGTTATTTAAAGCAATGCTCCTCAACTTTTTGGGCACTAGAGACTGGTTTCTTAGAAGACAGCTTTTCCATGGCTTGGACAAGAGGGGCTCAGGATGATTCAGGCACATTAATTTATTGGGCATTTTATTTCCATTATTATTACATTGTAATATATGGCAAAATAATCATACGATTTACCATAACAGAATCACTGAGAGCCCTGAGCTTGTTCTCCTGTAACTAGATTCTTCCCGCAGAGGCTAATGGGAAACAGTAACACCTGAACTTTGCTGCTTGCATCCAGTCTGTGCCCTCACCTTGTGTGGTTACTGTCACTGCAGAAATCCCTGCTTCACCAAGACGCCATAAATGGAAGCAGACTTTTCATTGCCTTTGAAGCAAGTTCAGCATCTTCCACCTTGACTTTATTCTAGAAGTTATGGAGATTTAAGTTCTCTCCAACATAATTTTAAGGCCACTGACAAAGGCAATTTCAAGCACTTTGTCTTCTCCTATTATGGACAAGGTGGATTCGCCTGGCTTATTCATAATAGGGTTATACTTCCCTTCCTTCCCTACTTAGGGGTCTGTTGTGGTTGAAAAGTAATGTTCAAATTCTTTGGAAAGCTGAGATAGACGATTCTGTACCAACTGAAAGATAGAAGTTTCTGACTTAGTTTTTTTCAAAATCTCTGCTAGTGTTTGACCGTGTTAAAAGTTGGAATGTTCACTTGCCACCACTATAATTCCAATTTGGCTTTGAATGCATCCATCTTATCTGACAACTTGAACACAGTTGTCATCCTCCCCAGAAGTGACAGATTGAGTTTTTTGAGCAGGTTAAATATGTCATGAGTAAGCAAATTTTGGTCCCATTCTTTGTCACTGAAATGGGCCACCAGTAGTGACTTTTTCTAAAATCTCTGGAGTGCCTCTCAACTCAAAAACTCTGGGTCGTGATCTATCTTGAGAAAGCCATCTCCTCACAGAACTATGTGAACAGGTGTGACTTAAAGGCTTGTACTTTAATGTGGTTGATAATTTTAATCATATCCTGCAAAACACTGTTAGTTCATGTGACATTTTTTAGCTAGCCCATATTTCTCTATAGATGACACATTGTATAAACTCACATTCAGAAGGGACCTCTTTATTATTTTTTTCTTTTTTGTATTTTTAAATTTAGTTTACAGGGAGTATAAAAATAATAGATAAGACATTAGAGATGATACACAGTTGTCCATGCTAGGAGAGGACAAAGTGCTTGAAATTGCCTTTATCAGTGGCCTTAAAATTATGTTGGAGAAAACTTAAATCTCCATAACTTCTAGATTAAAGTCAAGATTGGAATATATTTAACCCTGATTGTTATATTTTGCAATCCTGTTTTCAGTGTAGTTGCTCAGAT